AGATACAGCAAACAATTCACACTATGCATTGGAGGAGCAGTAATTCATCTGAAGGTGGCAAATCTGAGATGAGACAGGTATTAAAAAGGAAAGGCTAAGTGCAGGATCACATTGTTATTCTACTGTCTTTCCATACAGGTCATAAGAGGCAGTCCATTTATTCCCCCAGTACATTACCAAGTTAAATATGTGCACAAACATTTGCAAAAATACTCTTTCTCCCTTTTAATTTTATGTCAATCAGTGGTTATTGAAATAGTCTAAATCCTTACAAAAACAAGTGCTCATATAAATTGAAATGCACCTTGTTGTCTGCTGTGAGAGCATCTCAGAAATCCTTGTGGTGTGTGTGGATGGTGTTATAAATAACAAACTGTATTTCCAGGGTAGCTGGTTTCTCTAGCCTTTTTCATCACAGTGCTAAGTTTAGTATGTAGAGGTCCAAGGCTTTTTCATTTGTATTAATACAAAAAATAATAACCATGAAAGTTAATGGAGTTAATTACATTCAAATCAGTTAGATGCAGGAAAACAAAAAGGACTTTTTGTGTAAGCAAAGAATTAGCTCTGGTAGTTTCTGAGTAACAACAAGAGTTTGAAGATCAAGAGCCAAAGACTATATTACTGAGCTCTTACTTTTCAGGAATAACATACAAAATGTGGCAGGCTGATGAGTACTGTAGAGACCTAGAAAGAGGACTAAAATTGAAGGAATCTGTAGGGTATTTAGCAGTGCCAAAACAGGAAAAATCTTTAGTGGTCACGCTACCAAGGAGTCCTAAGTATTTCCTCAAGGCTCAATCACGAAACATTTTTGTCCTGCCCTTCTTATGATCACAATCTAGCTATTGGTTTCAGCAATACAAGGCTTTGGAGAATAATCAAGTTGTGAAAAGTTGTTTCTCCTGAATCCAATCCAGGAAAATGTAAAAGCCTACCAGGAAACATATCTCTTACCTGGAATATTTCAAGATTGCTTCAGTAGGGTTAAAGGAGCATTTCCTTAGTGTCTTTAAGAGACAGAACCATTTTACCCCTGGCTTTGGTGCCTTCATTTGAAATGAGACCTCTAAATCAAAATTTAGGAAGGGAGTAATTACTATCACTGAAGGCAATCATATGTGAGTTGTAATAGGATTTCCCTAACACTATAATTTATATCAGATATTATTACTTCAGAACACAGTCCATGAAGAACTTTCCAGGAAGAATCAAAATTAATTTATAAAATCCGTAATTAAAACATTGAGGATTAAATCAGTGCTTGAGGTCCTCTGTGATTGCATTATCCTTCTCTTACGTTTTTGCATAATATTCATGTTACTCCTCTCTTTCCTTAAATATGACTATTGAAAAGGGAGAAAAAGATTTTTAAGACATTAATTTATTCTGTCTTCCTTGATATTCCCATAAAATTAGGGGTCTTGTTAATCATCTTCTCTCTGTTTGAAAATTTCTAAAAGTAATCATAAAAGGTAAATTCAGTAAGCCTCAGAACAAACAAACAAACAAAAAAGAACCAAAGAACTATGAGTTTATATATCAGCTAGTTAATATTTAAAAAGATTTATTTTATATGGGCAATATGGAGCTCCTAGAAAATTGACAGAAAGCACCTGGAGCAAGAGGTAGAAAAAGGATTAATATTTTCTGGATGATTGAGAACTTTGGGCATACCAATCTACCTGTCTTATCCTTCACTTTTACACTTCACTTTTACAATTGTGATGGACCATTTTTGGATGAAAATTTTAACGTGTGTGATGTGGATCAATATAATGTAGTATGCAAAAATCTCTGTATATCCATATAAGTTTTTCTGTCGAGTTTAAAGTCCCAACTCAGCCTTGTTTTTAAGCCTATGAGTATTTATTGCCCACCATACTTCAACAGGGTTCTGTAATTGTGTTTCTTGGAAATATCTCAAATATGCCAACTAATCAAAAAATACTAGTGTATTTCATGTCACAAGGACAGTGTTGCATAGCACCCATGGAGAGCCCCAAACTGGATGTTCTTCTCACTGTTAAGTGCTATCATGATAGCCCCATTGCTAATCATAGGCAATACAAACACTCCTCACCCTCTGAGCCTGAGTTAAACAGAATCTGAATCACTTTTGAGCTGAACAAAAACCTTCTGAGTTGATTGGTTTAAAATAATTAACTGAATAAAAATCATTAGTCAGGATAGTAAACATTGAGATTTGATGGTTAGTGAAAGATACTAATTTCAGGGGAAGCAATCCATAGTTCAGTGCACACTACCTGATGCCCAGACATCAAAAGATGCTTGGAAACTCAATTTTGGCTGGGTGCATAATCCCTTTCAAGCATGTCAGTGACCGATTCCCAGGGCTCCGTGATCAGCACCTTTGAGAATGCTGCACATTAACTTCTATTTAGGATGTAAAAACTGAGCAAGTACATTGTTCTCACTCTTTTTGCATATGTTTCATTATTTCTGTGCTTCCTTCCTTTTTACATGTATTTCTCATTGCAGCCAGAACCTTTCCAAAGGGATAAAAAGAATGGTGAGTGGCATCTTGTGGCTCTCAGCTTTACCACATGAGTGACTAAAGCATTAGGAAAGTTAGTGCCCTAACAGTTGGCAGTCTCCCACCTCAAAGACTGAGCAATTTAGTATAATAGTCTGAGCAGCCTCAGCTACCATTGTGTCTGGGATTTTGCCTGAACTGTTAAATCTAGGACTTTCAGTTGGCACTCACTGTGTGCTGCCTGTGGGTCAGCTGTGCACATGAGTAATTTGTATAAACCACATTTTATAAGCTTGAAATGAGTTGTGGCCTTGCAAGATTAAAATAGATGAGCACAGCTCTGCCTAGATGTCATTGTGAACTATTTTAAAAAAATATCCAGCACATATACATAAGTAAAATACGACAGGAAAAATAGTGCTAAATAAAATATTTTTTTCATTGCTGCCTCAGTTTCCATTTTAATTTTACACAAGACAGGATTACAACAGAGCAATGGAGTTGTGTTAAATAATGAACTTTACAAATATAGTCAGTGGTAAAATTCCATAATTTGACTTTATTAAATATAGACTATTTCTGACAATGTCATTTAGATGCAGCTATAGTACTTGTATCTTACTGTCAGAATACAGATCTTTTTAATCATGAATGTGAATGATTGTAAGCTTTTCAGAGGCAGGAAAACAATCCTAGCAGGAGGGCCTTCGCAAAACTATCCTCAGTCCTTTACCTACTCTGGCACTGTGTCAGTATCAAATAATGTAGAGGAAAAGACTATACAGACAGGGTTATACAAACATGTAATGTAGGATCTAATCCTACAGTACTGATTTGAAATATTTGGGATTTTAGCAAATCTACTAATAACTTCATAAAGTTAGATTTCTGCCACAGGTCTGCTCTTTTCATCATCTTTCAATTTTACAATGGATTTTAGCCTAATTTTGCTGAAGAACATATCTAGTTGCATATCTTTAAAAGAATGCTTACACTCAGAACTAAAACTGATTTAAAATACTCCTTTAGAAATTGAAAGGTTTTGCTTTGTGTTTGGTTGTTAGGTTTTCTGTTTTGCCTTTTTTTTTTTTTGTCATGAGATGTTCTGCACAGAATCATTTTTGTAAACCTCGTAGCAAATCTAAATGGTGTTTTTAATGTTACTACGCTATCCTGTAGCGTACATGTAGACATGTAGAACTGGAGACGAGCAGAGTCTTGAAAATGCTATATTCTCTATCCAGTGCATCTAAAGGAGTACTTATATTTAAATTTTGTTTCATCCTCTTGTATGAATTCATGTCATTACCAAATGGTAAACAAAAACAGATGTCAGGCTCACTTTAGAAAAAGTGGTGAGCTTGCAGTTAGGTATTGAAGCGAACTGCTTCCGAGAGGAGGGTTTTGATATACTTCCGTCCATCTCTTTCAAATAGATATTTTTATGCTGGAAATGTCTTTAGTGCCCTTAATGCTTCATAGAAGAAAACAGCCAAAAAGTAAAATAAATAAATAAATAATGGCGGAAATATAAAATCCATTAGGATGAAGAACCCTGAGAATGTCTGGTTATTTAAGGGTATTTGTTTATTAAGAAGTAGAGAGAAAAGAACATCTGGCCATTAAAATAAGATGAGCAGGCTACGGAATAAATTTATACAAATAAGCCTGGCTTAAAAAGCAGAACAGTTGTGTGCTTTGCTACTAAACAGATTTTGTGACAGTACTGCAAACTTGCCAAGATATTAAGTAAATGAAAGCCAACAATCAAGTCTTTAAGTACATACCTTAATGACATAAGAGTATTACAAGCTTACAGAGGAAGAAAGCTTATAAAAGTATTAACTTTCTCCTGTACTCTGAAAGACATTCAGGTGAGATAAAAGAAGAGTTTTTACAATATCAAAGGACAATACCTCAAAAGAAAAAGAAAAAAAATACGTGAATGCAAATATGCAGCAAAAGTTTATCATATAGGCTTTCATTATTTGTGTAATTATAAGAGATGGCATTTTGTACACATCTATCAGGAGATATGAGGCATTCTCATATACAAAAGGCGTTCTATAAGAGCACAGTCAGTGAAACAGAGTTCTTACAATGGACATTTTCCCCATTCTTAGTATAGAGGGAAAGTATTTACCAGTTTAAAGGTATGTAGGAAAAAGTCCTATTTTCCTGGAAAACTCTTCTGCTAACTGAATAGAACATTCAATATTGAGTCCATGTCTATTTCATCTGCCTGGAACCTTCAGCTCCATCCCCTTCTGCTTGTTATCTACACAAACACACTCTGTCTTTGAGACCTAGGAATGATGCAGTACATAAGGAATACCAGGCCACTGCTAGGCAATGTTTATGGGACCAGCCTCCATGGTGTACTCGGTAGGAGATAACCCTTGGGTGATGTTAGACACACTGCACCTGGTACCCCAGGTGTCTCTCCACAAGGTGAATAAACATAGCTTGAAGCAGCTGGTAGCTGCTGAGAACAATGTCACAAACAGTGATTTGCCTTGTTATCTTCTGAGGATATCCTCTCTAAAGAGTTAGAAGAAACTTTTCAAAAGTGGCAAAACATATGTCATTATAATGAATGGAGCCACTCATGCCTCCACTGATAGATACGGAGAGATTTGGGTATGTACTGCTCTTGGTAATCTTGATTTGGCCTCTCAGTGGCATGTGCTTTTTTTTTTGGACAAAAGAAATCAAGTTATATGAAAAATAGCAAGGCATTTGAAACAATCACAGTTTAAAGAAAATCAATATTTCTTTCATTAAAGAAATATTTGCCTTGAGGCCACTGACTCAGCAAAGAAAACCTAAAACTGGAATGTTTGGAATATTCCATAACTGACTCAGCAATGAAAACATTCCATATGAAAAACATTCCATACTTACCACCTAAAATCACTGATGATTTTATGGGTTTGGTAAATGACTAACAACAAAAGAGAAAATTACGGATAATCCAAAGCTAGCAAATATTGAACTGAATATCTGCTTGATACTCTGGTACGCACAGAAGTGCCTACTGCAATTTTCTTATTAACTAAGAGCAATGAAGGATGCTTCCTATGGTTTCGAACTGTTTAAATAGCAAGCTCAGAGTCCCGTTCATTTTACTAACCTTACTGTGTATACTTCTACAAGTAACTTGACTAAGTAGCATCTAAGATTTTTGAGAAACTAAGCAATTGAGTGGAAATAGAAATGAAATATCTTATTTCATAGAAGACTAATAATATTCAGATACCTTGTTTCACTGTGTTCCATAGTGCTGATTTATCTGTCAAAGAGAGGGATGCAGTGCAATTAAAAAGTGATTAAGAAAGCAAACAAAAACTTCTGCTAACAAATTACATCACCATCCCACTAAATATTTAAATTAGTCTTCAAAGGCTCTTCATAGCTGAAGCCATTCTCGAATTCTGCATACACGTGCTAGGAAGACAGAACTGAAAATCGGTGAATTGTTTCAAACTATCAAATGTTATCTCAACATATAATTCAGTCTTTCTGAATTAAATACATCTACTATTATATTAAGTTTCATACCAAATTTTTATATACAATGCCATTTCCTGGAAAAATTTAACTTTTGAGAAGATCATTAAAGGATCAGTGATTCTTCATATTATCTGTTAAATGAAAATACTTCAGGCTAGCTTTAACAGAGGCTATTTACAGAGCTGGAGGCTGACAGCCAGGAATATATACCCAGTATGGAGTTTTATTCAATATTTAATTGAATGTCAAAATAAATTGCAAAAAACAGCCATGTTGGGGTTTTCTTGTATAATCTGATTTATCTGTTTTATCTTGGACACCTGCCTTAATTCTTCATCATTCTTGCATCATATGGGAGTGTGATTTTTATATTTGGATTAGATTTACAAACAGGTTAGATAGATAATAATAAAGGTTTAAATAATAAACTGGAACACAGCTTAGTTACTCTAAAAGTCCATACTCAGTTGAAAGTTGAACATTTCCCAGGCCATATTTGGAGCAAACCAATTCTTAGGGTTTGAGTCCTCATCCAAAGGGCAGTGAAATCAGTGAAATTATTGCTCATGAGACCAGAGTGGCTTTGATCAAGTTCTGCAGATTCATAATAATCTAATTTACAGATGTTCCAGAAATTATTTCTTCAGCTTCTTTAGGAGACAATTCTTTACTATCACTGGGCTCCAAACACAAAGCGAGAGATCACAAATACCTCTTGATGAATAGTTACACTGTGTTAGACTTGTATAGTCATTTACGTAACAGAAAAATACAGCAGATTAATTATAAGGATTATATAAAATGAAGGTATTGGAATAATTTTTTAAAGTTCAATTTTGAAAATTTCAAAAAAAAATCAAAATTAGAGAGGTACTTACTGCAGAGTCCTTTTTCTCACAAAAGAGTATAAGTTTTTGCTGTTGTTGTTATTTTGTTTTGTTTAGGAAGCTTCTGTACTCTGGAGACATTAACTAAATGAAAGACAAATGCTCAGAAGCTACAAATTAATAAATACAAATATTTCCATTTTAGCTCTGACATTAAATTATCGATTTATTATATTAGGATTCATTAGTAATATCAGCAGTGGTGCTTATATGACATAGTGCCGATTTTACATAATAGAGCTTGTAAAGCACTGCCTAGTTTTTATTTCTAATCATTTTCAAATTTTATAAAATGTTAGGAGAAGTATAGGAAATACTACAAGAATCCATTACTTTTGGAAGTGTGTTTGACCTTGTATTGGAGTCTTTTTCTTGAAGTTTACTAAGGGTAAAACTCTGAAACAGAATTTATGTAAGCAAAGAGTTAACATCTGGTCAACCATTTTTCTCATTGATGGCTTCTTCACAACTGAATGATAGAATCATTAAGGTTGGAAGAGACCTTCAAGATTATCTGATCCAACTATCACCCTACTACCAATATCACCCCACTAAACCATGTCTCTAAGCACCAGGTCCAATCTTTCCCTGAACACCCCCAGGGACGGTGACGCTACCACTGACCTGAGCAACCCATTCCAATGCCTGACTGCTCTTTCTGTGAAAATTTGTCTCCTAAAATGCAGCAATTGTTTTTTCAGGTTTTAATGTAATTTAAAAAATAAACAAGATATGAAAAATAAAAATCTTCAGCATTTATTGCATATTATTATTATTATTATTATTATGTAAAGTCATGGTCGGAAATGATAAGATGTCCTTGTTTCAGTGAGGTAGTGAATTCGGGAATGTCTACTACTGCTTGGCAGTAGTTGATGTAGGCTATGAGGAATTGAAATCAGTTAATTGGTGCTAGCATCCAGATGTGTAGAAGAAAAACTGGTTTCTCCCGTTTGTAATATTAGGAAAATTGTGTGAACATTAATGTAGGATTAGACATTATCCTATTTATTCATGGGAAAGGACTAGCAAAAATGTTATTCAAGATAATTCTGAATGTGTGCTACAGTTACCTTCTAAGTGTTGATCGTCTTTTCTAAAGAGTCATATTTCTCTTTGTATTCAGACCTTTTGTAAGGTCTGAATATTCTTAAAAGAGTCAATAAAGCCATGTAAAAGAATGGAGGTTATTGAGTGAAAAGAAACAAATTGACGAAAGAATTATGCTGCCAAAATAGATTTGAGAGATTGAAGCTTCGTATTAATTTCAGAGAGACTTTGAAGAATCAGGGTTAACAATAACAGATACCCAGAAAGGGAGAAAAGGAGTAAATTTGAAAACATAGCAGTATGTAATGATAAAAAATGTCTTGTGAAGAGATTTCAATTATGTATATAGAGAAAAATTAATCTGATCAAAGTGAATTGGTTTTATATGAATGAAAAAACACCCTCCACCTTGACATAAATCTGTTATGAATAAATGTGTGTTTCAATTCAAAAATACTATGGAAAGTGTCATGAGGAAAATAGGCACAAATGAAAGGAAATTGCTACGCTAGGAGTGTCTCCTTCCCATAACCACAACATTCAGGCCTTCCTGAAACAGCAGCAGCTGGCTCTATCTGCTATCAGCTGTCCATGGGAGAAAAACCTTGGTTTTGCTGCTGAAAATATTTGTATTCAATGAATGGAAAAAAATAAAATATGTTCACATAGATTAATCCAGCAATTAAAGACCAACGAGAAAAAATGCATATTAGCAAGCTTTAGTTGGAAAGGGCACTTACAGGACCTACACATTTAACATTCTAATAGAAAATGTCTAGTATTAATTCCCATGGCATTTAAAGAAAATGCAACAATAGAAAACAAATCACAATGGAAGACAAGTAAGTGAATTCGTAAGGGTAAGCAGAAAAAAACTAATGGATGATTTTGAGAAGCTGAAATATACATTTAAGGCATTCTTAAAACAGGATTCTTTTTAGATACTTTTCCCCTACATAACACCTGAATGGTTGTTTTTAGAGCAGAAGTTTGAAGGAATAAAGGGTGCCATCATTCTTTTTAGTATTTTAAGTAGCCTTTTGCTACTTTTGATATGTATCATGTAACAATTTAAGTCTTGATCTTCCATCTGAATGCCCAAATAGCATTATGAATGTTAGTAACCCTTGTGCACCTGTGAACACTTGTGTTTTCATTGTCTTTCATATGTAAATATCTGATGTACTTCTACCTACTGTTCAGGAGTACTGAACTCGTGACTATGTTTAGTGCAGTTGTGAGCACAACATCCCTGTGAGGCAATGTTATTCAGCAACTATAAAAAGACTGAGCCAAAGAATGGTTTGCTCAGAATTGTGATGAGGAGCAAAAAGTAAACCTTAATTTCTGTGAGCTAAGTTAGCCCATCCTTCTTACTACATAGCCAGTATTCAACAGATAATCTATCTCTCTGCCCTTGCAAGCTGACTTTTCAGAAATTAATTTGGCTTTAATTCAGTTAAATCTAATTTAGTTTGGAGTGTGAAGTTGCTTCATGAAAAATTCCTGAAAAATTTTCCATGATTTTTTTTATTTTTTTTTCCTGGATAGTTTGAAATCCAGCAAAGTTTTAGGGATTAAAGCTATATAGGATAATAGTAAACCTGAAAATAAAATGAAACCAGTCATTCCCTCAGATAAGCTCTAGAATTGTCAGACTGTTTTAACTGTAATAGCATGGTCTCAAAGGGGTTTCATCTGATTTTCAAACACGATTTATCTTGTGCTTTCCTGTTGTTTGCTGATGTATATGTGAAGGAGAGCTAAAGGAATTCAACTGCTGTTTGTGCAAAAAAAAACACCTTTCACCATAGCATTATTGTGACCCAGAACATTATCCTACATTAATGAAAGAACAAGATAACATCTTTCTGCCACAAACTAGGAAAGTCAGCAACTCTTGGGAGATTATTTTTTTTTAATCATAACTTTTCTGGAAAAAGTAGTCTCTGGTTTTCATTTTGCATTAAATGCCTTACAGAAAGTATAGCCATTGCTGCTGTTGCATGTATGAGGCTTCCACATGGTGTGTTCTTTTTGATCTTTTTACCTTTTACTGTTTTTCTGCTCCTCGTAGTTCCCTTCTTGCTGCTTAGTTATAACCCTGTTATTGCTAAAATAACATAGCCCTGGCTTTCTGAAGTGTAGAGTGTTTGCAGATCCGCTGAAGTAAATAGGACAGTTAAACAG